AAACTTAGAGTCAGAATCAAAAACCCCTGTCTCAGGTGCTCAGTCAAATTCAATTTTACCTGTGTCCCTGAGACTGGCCTTAGCAGCTGGATTCTCTTATGTGGCCACAGTTCTCTCCAGCCTGATGGTTTCCAGACTGTCCTGTTCACAAAAATCATCTGGACTATCAGCTAAAAATAACAGCTTCCTGGGCCTTTGGTTAGAAATTTTGATTGAGTAATCTTGGGAATATGTGTTTTTAGTAGGCACTGAAGTGGCAATGATGGCTTAGGCCACCCACCATTTGGGAACTGTATCACTTGCACCCTTTCCATAGAGAAAGTTTTGCTTTATGCTAACAGTGGAATAACTTTTTGGATCTTGCTTATGAGTAAAGCAAGGTTAATCTAATCTAATCAAAATTCTTTGAGAATTTTGTGAACTATTAAATTACACACCAGTTGTTTTTCCAGGACCTGAAAAATATTCTAGCAGCCCTAATAAAAATGACACATGAAGATTTATAACCTCTGATTTTTCTTTTACTTTATTTTTATTTGGCATTCCTGTAACTTTCTGTTGAAATTCTGATTTTACTTACAGTCTCCTGTTGCTTACATTCTCTTAGTATAGTAGGAAGAGCTTGGGAGAGCAAAAAGAAGTAAACACAGGTAAATGTGATTGGGTCTGGACTTTGTTAATAAAATTAATTAGATTTCTATGTTTTTGCTTTGCCAGGCTTGATAGTTTGAAAAGTATTAGCAAGGCTGGTTCAATTTATATATTGCCCATCTCTTATCTCATTAATTTGTTCATTAAACATTAATTGTCTACTCTTGCTATGCTGACTCTAATGTCTCTAATAGGAAAAAGAAACACAAATGGTAACAAACACATGAATTCTGCTTACTGCTAGAATGAAGAAACTTCTAGCTAAACATTCGTAGACAGGTTGGAGATCCAACAAAATAAATAAATAGTGCTTCTCTTTTAGGGAGGGAAAGTAAAGGAATTATAAGAATTTTGGACCAGGTAAAGGGGCTGAGTCCTAGACTTGACTGTAGTAAAAAAACAAGACAAATAGACCTGTCTAGAAAACATTTTAAGTGTCATTTACTTAAGAGGCTTCTTTCTCACCCCAAGAACTGCATACATCAGTACAAAGGATTTCCCTTTGCCCACTCTTTTTATTTTAATTAAACGTAGCTTTGGCTCTAGAGTTATCTCATACCCCAGATGGAGTAAAGTGAGGCAGTTTCAGGAAATGCTGATTTTTGAGGCTTGAGATACACCCAAGTGTAGTTCTTTAAATGCACAGGCTCCTGTTGCTTGGGCAGGGCAGAAACTCCTAACATTAAGAGATTAGCATTGGAGTGGCCCAGAACCTGTGTGTGTGTTTTCTTGTTTGTTTGTTTTTGCCTCCTCACTCTAAACAAATAATAATTGTTTAAAGCCCAGGAAGATATTTAAAACTGATTCACCTTGTATTAGAAATTAGCAGTGCTATTTTGAACATTCAAGGAAATGAGGAGCAAAGTATAAATAGGTTGCTTATATTCTATTTGTTCTGGTATCCCCATGTCACAAAGGCTGTTTTCGAAGAAAAGTTTGTTGAAAGTGTATACCTTGTAACCTTGGATCTAAATTACTAGTATCTGTAGTTCTGCTTCTTTTTTATTTCGCCCTGTGGATGCTAACCACTCAAGAAACAAAGCTTTGAATTGAAAACTCATACCCCAAAGCAACACATTTGAAATGGGAAACAAGTAATTCTTGCCATGTTGCCATCATACCCACATTAATTTTTATTTATTTATTATTAGCTAGCAATTGTAATCATGGGCAAGTCATTTCTTGAATTTTGGTTTCTGCTGTACTAAGAGGATTGGATGAGGTGACTTTTTAAGGTCTTTCCAGATTTGGGATTTAGAGTCAGTACCTTCGACTGCACGTATAATCAGTACTGACGCCAGAAATCAGTGTCCCTTAGAGGGCCAATAGTGTGCTGCCTGGCTAGCCACACCCACACTGAGAGGCAGGAACCTTCTTAAAGGGGCAGGGCCTCCGCCTTTGCTCTGTTCAGCTGACCCTTGCTCTTTAGGTAGCAGGCTCTTTTAGTTTGGAGTGATTGTGGGTTGTCCATTTAACCATTTCAAGTGAAGAAGCATGTAGAAGGAATGACAACGTATTTTAACTTGAACTAAAATTAGCAGAACAATTGAATATTTAAAAAGCCTTGTTGGAATTGGTGGTTTTTAATCTCACGTAAACATTAATGAAACCACGAGTGGCCGTAATTTATGAATGTGGGTTCTGAAAAGTAAGTTCATCTAAGGAACAACATTGAAAGTAGTGTTAAGTGTGTTGTAGGCCAGCCATCTATTTAGTCCAGAATGTGGCTATAATACCATATTTTTGATGACAAATAGTGGCTGATAGTACTGTAAAATTAGTTTAGAGGAAATAATATAATTAACATGAAATTGATGCCGCCTTTTACTATCTTAAGTGAAAATTTCCTGACATGGAACAATACTACTGATGAAACAATTGAAAAAAAGAATGTAATGCCAGTTTTGACAAAAGGTAGAAATTCAGTATTTGAGTAAGTTTAGTGTGGTAGATGGGCATATGTCAGCAGGAATTCTAAAGTTACTAGCCCCTTCATCTCCTCTGCCTTTATATGTGCAGGGATAGGCACGTGTTTGAAAGAGTGAAAGGCAAAAATGATTCCACTGAGGCTGCTTTAGTGTATTTACCTTCCTTAGTGTTTCACCTCCTTTTTATTGAGATTCCTGAAGACTTAGACTTCTCCTGCAAGGAATTTCCTCCCCCAGTTTATCAGAATACAAGTGATCCTATTCTTTGAGTGTTACTGTTGACCTCGCCAAGAAATCAAATAAATTTGAAAGAAAATGTTGTCCATGCTTAGGAATATTTTAAACACCTGGGTCTTTCATCCAGTTCTCCTATAGCAGCATAGCCTCCTGACTTCTCCCTGTTTGATACTCACAATTGTTCATTTTCTGTCTTCCCTTCCATAGTATAAGCTCCATGAGATCAGACACTGTCTATCCTTGTTTGCTGGTCTCTGTTTCGTACCAGGCCTAATGCTGTATAGGCAACAAATACATATTTATTAAGTAAATAAATTATCTCTTTTCTGTCACGCTGTGAGATAGCTCTTCAAGGTTCTGTTGTTGACTCTGTCCTATTTCTTAACGCCTTTTTCATTGATATTGATGCCGCCTTTTACTGTTAAACTGTGCATACAGTAACTCACCATTTTCATTTTGACTGGTTTCTCTGTATTTCAACCCCTCTTCTTCGTTCCAAGTTGATTAAATAAATGTATTCACAATTTATTTCCAGGTGGAAAAGTAGATTACCAAATGCCCTATTAACAGTAGTTAAATAGGAACGGTAGGACCACAACTGATACTTGCCTACTTCCTCTTGCTTATGATTCTGGTCCTGTTGATCTCTTATAAAGATGTAAGTTTTCTCTCCCTTCAGTTTCTGTTCCCCATTCTATTCTTAATGCGATGACCAAAGCAATCTTCTTAAATCAATGGTCTGATTGGGTAATGATTTTCTCTCACCCTATAGCATAAAATTTAGGAATTGGCCTTTTGTTGTTGTTCTCTGAAGTCAGAAATAGGAAAAACTGTCTATGTTTAGAACTACAAGGGCCCTGGCTGGTGTGGCTCAGTGGATTGAGTGCCAGCCTGTGAGCCAGGGGGTCGCTGGTTCGGTTCCCAGTGAGGGCATATGCCTGAGTTGCAGGCCAGGTCCCTGGTGGGAGGCACGGGAGAGGCATCCCCACATTGGTGTTTCTCTCCCTCTCTTTCTTCTCCACTTCCTCTTAAATAAAGTCTTAAAAAAAAAAATCTACCAGGAACAGGACCAGACTGTTGGGTAGGTGTTGAGTTCCCCATCACTGGTCAGGATATGGAAGGATAGGAAATAGTTCTCAAATGGGATGGGTTATTGGAGATTTTTGAAGCTATGTGTACTTTAGGCCTGTGATAGTATCTTTCAAACTGCTTAGGTCTTCCACAGTCTGGCCTAGATAAATTGTTAATGATTAGGACATCTTAATTATCCTCCACTGCATCTTGCATGTGGTAGGCACTAAGCATTCAGTAAATAAATAACTTCTACTTCTGGGTATATTCTTGGGTGGATGAGCTCAGGTTCTTTGTTTCCACTTCAGACTTGATTTTCTGATGTGGGTGTATCAGAGCTAGATTCTAACTACTGGGATCCAGTCTTAGGCCTCTACATGTGTGATCTTGAGCAAGTTATTTATTTTTCTCTGAGCCTACTTTTTCATCTGTAAAATTAGAACGACTTACTGTAAAGTAAGTTATTGTAATGACTAAATGCATATGAAAAATGTTTTATAATCTGAGAATGCTTTACAAATGATAGAAATCATTCAAAATTTATTTTTTAATATATTATATTGTTTAATATATAGGTATGTCACTACTATTACTCTTTTACATTATAATTGGCCTTACTTTTAGACTAGTAAAGGAATTATAATTGCTTTTTCTTAAAAAACAGCACATACCTCCTCAAGGCAAAATTTCTCTCTTATGTTACTGAATTTTTGATATTTAAATTCTGAACTACCAGTGTCTGTGGATTTCTTGTTTAGTTTTTGTGTCAGCTTTGAACAAAGATTCAAAAAGTACCACTGGCAAAATTAAATAATGTACCATTTTCCCCAAACGGATCACTTTTGGTAGCAATTTTCCAATTTAAGATTTGTCTTAAATTATTTAGTGCCCATGTTTTTACTATTTTTAGGTGACAAAATCAGTGAGTAATTAGCAAAAGGATTTTAATGAAAATGTTACCTTAATTCTTTATTCTTACTTTTCTACTCATACACCATATACACTTATACATGTATACATTTCATAGTTGAAATTGTATATATAAATGCTATAATTATGCATTTTGATGTTTTTTTCCTAGATTGCATATGATGGAATTAGATACATCATTAATCCATGGTGCTTCATAGAGATCTCTTTCTGAGTTCAAGATGAGTGGGTTCATGAACCACTGCTTTGTGAAGTAGAACCTAATAAGAGATATTAGCTCTTAAGAAAGGGCAATTCTTGAGTCTGAGAAGGGAAAGAGATGTCTCACTGACCAGGGCTGACTTTACAAGTAAGATATGTTAACAAATCAGATTTTCATAAGATGAGGACTGTACAGTGGAAAAGAAAATTATTGACATTTGTCATTTCCTTTTACTATAGTCAATCTGTGTTCTTTCTCCCCTCTACCCAGGTCAGTATATGTTTTATGCCCTATTCTTTTATCACACAAAAAAAGAGAAGACCTACTGCAGTGAATGAAGATTCTTCTGCATTTTAGCACTGCTTTTCCTGCTGTCGTTGGCCTTTGAATGAGGATGACAATGGAAGAGATGAAGAATGAAGCTGAGACCACTTCCATGGTTTCTATGCCCCTCTATGCAGTCATGTATCCTGTGTTTAATGAGGTAAGTCAGTAAATATTTCCTCTTAGGCTCTTTGCAGTTTTTTAATGCCTACTTCATTTATTCATTTGTTTCTTTTTTCATGTAATAAATACTTATATAAAGACTTCGATCTATGTATTAGGCATCATGCCAGGACTAGACATAAAACAGTGAGGGAGGAACCCACATATACTGTTCCCCCTCTGGAGGTTTCACTGATGTCGGAGAGAGAAATATTAAACAAAAGAATACAAATAATTAGATAAATGAAAAATTGTGGTGAGTGCTGTGAAGTTTAAAAAATTGCAGGTGGGACCTATTTTAGGAGTCAAAGCAGGCCTCACTGAAGAATAGACATACTAAGATCTAAAAGGAATAAGTAAGGGTTAGACAGTTGAAGAGCTGGGGATAAGCACATGTTAGATAGCCAGAAGAGCAGGCACAAAAATGTCCTAATGAGTTTTAGTCAGTAGTGACGTTTTTACTGATAAATGGAACATACTAGTGCTTTATATTTAGAGAAAATAGAGTTGCTTTTTTTAATTTGAGCAATTTTCTAAGACTTAATATTATCAATACATTTTTTCTTGAAAATGAATATTAATATGTTAAGGTATATAGAGAATTCTAGAGCTGTGCAAGTTTCTTAAATGTAATCAAATCACTGTCATCCCCTCCGCCCCCCGCCCTTTCAGTGGTGAACTAAGGTCCTGATACGTGGAATTTTTTCCCCTGAAATTACCTACAACAAAAAAATCTAGGACTCCAAATTCAGTGGCTTCAGCCTTTTTGTCTAATTAAGGTTTTGTGTGTTTTTTGGGCTGTTTTAATTTAATTAATTGTAAAGCTATCAATACCATTAACCTTATTGTTCCTGAAAGCCCTCACCATTTCCCGTAAGTTTTCATCTCTTTTTCTAAAATATTTATATTTAGAGTAAGATTATGGGTTTCAGAACCATTTCACCTACATTATTAGGTTTAATAATAATGTATTTGATGTATTTTATGATCTCATGCCTTGAGGACAATAGAGAGTGATTTATCCTCTTCAACTTGAAATCCATAGACTTATTTTCCATTTCAGACAAATATATTGTAACTTCAAACTCTGTCTACTAATACTGTTAGGCTCAGTGACCATGGAAGAAAATGCAAAACAGTGGCTGGGGTAGAATTTATTTCTCCTATATAAAAAATTCTAGAGGTAATTGGACCAGGGCTAGTATTATGAATGGCACAAGTATCATCAGAAACTCAGGTTCCTATCTTATCTCCCATCACGTTAGTGCTTGCCTTCCATTATCAAGGTCACGTCACCTGTGGGATGGCTGCTGAAGCTCATCTGTCCTAAGTTGTTCCCTGGATTGGGCAAAAAATCGGGGTGGGGTGTTACTTCCAGCTGATTCAGCTTTCTTAACTTTTTTGAATGTCCCGTATAACACTGCCATTCACATTTCATTGGCAAAAAGCATAATCTAATGACCACGCCTAGCTGCAAAAGAAGTTGGGAAATTTAGAAGTTTGTTACTAAAGAGGAAGCAAGGAGGAGGCATATTTTGAAAAACCTATTATACTGCTACTATGGTAGCTTCCACCCTTTTAGGACTGATTACACCCATGTATGGCAGCTAAAACTGACACTTGAGTAATTATTTCCACCCTTTCGTTCTTTTACCCGTTTGTTGCAAGACTGGAGTTAGAGTTAGAAGCAAGTGCTTCACTTCTGTTTAGTAAATATTTATTAAATGGCAACCGTTCATTTGCTCAGGGTTCTGCTAGGGTCTGGAGATGCATGGGTGCGGGGAGGCGGCATACCTCTTTATAGGAATTGTAGGGGACACATGTGCTTAAGCAGATAAGTTATTAGATATTTAATTATTTATTCACTTGTACCAGGTATGAAGTAAGAAGACAGTCCCTGAAAGCTAGTGAGTAATCTGTCTTGACAATTAGTGTTTGTACTTCTCAGATACTTTCAGAACCGTGAGGACAGTTCTTCCCACAGGTGCTCCCTCTTTTCATGTCTACAGTCTAACTCTGTAGCTAATTCAGTAGGCTACTGGGCCAAGTGGTTTAGGGAAATGTTGTGTATTTATCTGGGTTATTTTGAGTCTTTAGTTGAAGGGAGGGCAGTTGCATTGCTGAGCTTCAGTTTGATCCTTTAGTTAATGAAGAAGAATGAGAAAAGCTGTTTTTTCTAATAATTTGGATGGTCTTTTTCTTAGCTTTTTTTTTTAAAGATTTTATTTATTTTTAGAGACAGAGGATGGGAGGGAGAAAGAGAGGGAGAGGAACATTGATGTGAGAGGGAAACATTGATCTGTTACTCCTAGAATGCACTCAGACTGGGGATGAACCTCTCAACTCAGGCATGTGCCCTGACCGGAAACTGAACTGGCAACCTTTATCTTTGCCTGATGATTCCCAACGAACTGAGCCACGCCCGTCAGGGCAAGTGATTTTTTTCTATATGTGGAATGTAGATTTTATTTTAGTCTTGATTTTGAAAGATAACTGTTCAGGATCTGAGATTCTCGTAAAATGAACGGTTTGGGTTAATATTGATACACCTTTCCTAATATTCAAATATAAGGAAGGTTCACTTGAAAGAAAACGTAATGGCTGTGAATGGACTTGTAAATCTCTTTCATAAATAAAGGCAGTGGTTCTTTGCAGATGAGATCTGAAAATGTATGTAGGTTAATGGGCCCAGAATTAGAACTTGTTGCCAGATGATTCATAGTTGGTTCAAGAACTTATTATTAGAAGTGAAATTTGAAAATGAAATGGCTAGATGTGGCAAACAGAGATACTGCATCAAATTGTTAGGGTCTAATTCTCAAATTGAATTTACTGATCAAACATCATGGTATTAAGCTTTTTTAAAAAATTATTTCTTTTGTATATTTTAAAAAGAGTATTCAGAAATAATAGGCATTTAGGAACAGTGGTGGTAGTAGTAGGCTTCCTCTTTGATAGAGATGAAATCTTGGTCTTGATTTAGGAATGGAGTCAAATAATTATTGTACCTTCAAATGTGAGGTGTTTGGTTAAAAAGAATCAAGTGCTAGTGTTGTTCTCTGACATTCCAGTGTATTGATGTAACATCTTAAATAAGATGCCTAATCAGTTAATTAATATTTGTAAGTTCAAAGGTAGACTTTTCTATAAACCTGCTAATGGGAAAATTAATTAGTTTGGCTTTGTTTTCCTGTGCTGTGCAGATTTAAAGATAAATTGTTTGTCAGATTAATCTTGTAGAAAGTAGTACCACAGTGAGGATGAACATTTTACTCTGAAGCTAAATGATTCACTAAACTTCGTCCACAATGTAATGTAAGAGTTACAAAGCTCATGCATTCTCACCGTAACATTACATCCATAATAATAACAATGGTGGGTCTAGAAGTCATCTTGTAGAACAGATGTTTAGACAGTAGTACATCCTTGCACCTGAGGAAATTTTAGTACTTCAGCTCACAAGGCAGCTATTTATGGCATTCTGGGAGCTTGATGCTTGCTAAACTTAATGAAGCTATGCTAGGACAGCTGAAGGAGTGGGTTTCTTGTTTAATCAGCTGCTGCAGAGTTCAGAGTCCAAGTGTATTGCATGTATTGTAAATGTACTGTGAAAATAAGTCTCCTGGTTGCATTATGGCATGAGTTTACAGAAACCTCATGCCAGGTGTTATTTCAGGTTCTTGTGGACTTACTATTTTTCTCTAATTCTTTATATATGGAGGAGGAGAGATGTATGGTCCAATTCTTCATTCCAGAAAAAGATATATCATGTATCTCCTTTTCCTGTTACTTTTTGGAGGAACTGTTTTAAGGTGAAATACAAATTATAAAGAAGTAGGTATTTTGAGACAGAAATAACAATTGTGCATCCAAAGATTAATTTTAGATCAGTGGTTTGTATGCTTGTTTATTAATAAATCACACAAAACGGTGCTTCTGAATAATTAGTATCATTCTGTTTAGAAGGATTTGAAGCAGCTATTTCTGCTAATCTCAGCAGAATATGTAACTCTTAATTTACCAGTAAGGAAATACTTCTCCGACTTTACCTGTGTACCCATGCCATTTTTCCCCCCAGTGGAGAAATATCAAATCCCAAATTTTGAATATAGTAAACATACTTTTTTTTCACAGTGAAGGCATGGGTTTAACCTGCAGTTCCACCATCCAGAGGTCATCACAGTACTTATATTTGAACCTATTGCTGTGTCACTTACTAAGTTATATAATCATCTTAGTTTTCTTACTTACAAAATTAGAATAATGAATAATTCTCACAACATAGTAAAATAAATGAGTTAACATATTGTAGTGCTTAGAATAGTACCAGGCATGTAATAAATATTAGCTGTTATTATTAAGCAGTCTTCCATGTAATTTTCTGACAAAATTGTGATCATAACATAGAGTTTTGCATACTTAATAGGCAATGTTTTAAAGGAATATTTTTATACTAGTTAGGTGGTTCTGCTTACCTTTTTTGCCAGACAATTTGGCAACCCCAGGAACTAATTATTTTAGAAATATTTACTGAACTATATACAAAGCACAGATGATTGCATTTGCTTTCTCTTTGGAAGCACAAAAGTTAAGTGTGGCTCTTTACAAAAATCTTCTAGAGGGGGTTGGAGGCATGTGAGTGTGGCAAATGTCTGATTTTGAGGAAGCAAGATTTTTAGACAATTCAGAATCAACTAACGTAATTATTTTGACATTAAAAAAAGGCTTTCAAAGATTTTATGTGAAACTCTTTAAAACTTGAGCAACCGAAGGGTAAAATACTGTTTGTTTGTTTGTTTTTTAAATTATGGGTGTAGGAAACTGGCTTATTACTAGAAAGTAAAGTATAGGAATTAACTGATACTTCCAGAGGGAGCAAATAATAAATGAACTCTATGCAACCAAAACTCTGTGTAAGCTTTTAAAATACAGGGTCCAGCAGAAGCAACGCTTGCTTGCATGTGGTTGGTAGGGTAATGTTATGGGTGTAATAATTTATAGTTTTAATAAGAACATTTCACTCAAAATGTCATATGGTGTGCTTCAGTGTGATGTTGTTATGTTACAGAATTACATGCTTATGATTTTGTAATAAAACATTTTGTAATAAAAAAGGGGCGTTATTTGTGCCAGACCCTGTATTATTATAAATAACCCAGAGAGTAAAATTTAACAAGTTTGCGATTAATAGTGCTCTCAAGAGCTATCAAGAATAAGTTGCAGGAGCAGCTCACAAACCAGAATATAAGATTCAGGGGAGACCTAATGTTAAGTTCCCTATCAGTTCCCTCGAAATGTACTTTAACAGGCATCTTTTCTTCTCTTTTATGTGAGATGAGATGTTATCTACCCTTCTCTCTCTCTCTCTCTCTCTCTTTCTCTTTCTCTCTCTGATTTTCCTCTTTTCTTTACTGTTTTACTGATGACTTTTGATGATACATGATGGAGGCGCAAGGAGTGCCGCTCCTTGTCCCAGTCTCCATAGTACAAGGTGTAGTCAGATGTTGCCCTTCCCTTCTTTAGACTCAAGGTGTATACACTATTAAGCACTACAAAAAAAATGCTGCATTGACTCTTTAAAGATACCCCAGCCAAAGACTGTTATCCCCAAAACTAAAAAAAGTGCTTAACTCATTAGCAAAAAATTGGACACAGAATGAAAATTCTGTTGAAACCTTGCATAAAATCATTTTGTCCCCATGTTGCAACCTTTAAGATACCTGTAAGTGGGAGAACTGCCAAGATGATTTTAAGAGGCCACACTCTTCAAGGACCAGCTCAGATCTCATATTCACATTTTACTTTCTACTTTGCCCATGGTTCCATCAATTTCCATGAAGGTGTTTACTTATTAAATTCACCTCTGGGGTTCCAGGACTACCCTCTGTTTGCAACTCTCACAGTCTTCCTTACACATGGTAAAAACCCAGGGATTTGTTTTATTCCTAAGTAATGGAAGAGATTCAGTGAGAAGGTAGGCTTCAGCCTGGAGTGGGCAAGTACAGGGAGGCAGGGTTGGGAGCCAGATAGATCTGGTACGAATCCTCTCTCTGCACTTAACTAGTTATTTAACATTTGTGTAAATTTATGCAAACTGTGTTTCTTCTTCTGTAAAATGGATATGAAAGCTAGTTGCAGATTTATTGTATTAGAGATACTCTCTGTAAGAATACTCTGTATGATGAAGTCCATAATAACTCTTAGTAAATGGTTGCTGCTGTTAGACTCTTACTGGAACCTGAAACTCTCGTGAAGGATACTAGTAAGATGAACATGATTTTATTATGAAATCATATATATTCAATTGAGAGGCCTGAAATAGAAGCACTCTTGTACTTTTAATTGGGAAGAGAAAAACGTACCTTGTTCTATACCTAAGTGTTATTGGCTGAAATTATAGATTACGGACAATTTAGATAAATTTATGCATGAGAAATTAAATTCAATTTAAAAAATATGTATGGGTCTGTATGGGCAATGTGGGTATCATATAGGTAATAAAACCTAGTGGGTTTATTGCAAGGTGTGTAAGTATAAAATGTATCCCAGAATAACTCCTCGCAGAGTACTCGCGAGGTTCTTCACAGCTCAGGGATTTGATTTAGTATGTTATTTCTGTCCTTCTCCTTTCTTTTCTGAGGCACACGCATGTAAACTTAATCTAGAAATCTAGAGATGTTGATGTTAGGGGAAGTTGGCTAATTCTGTGAGTCCTTCACTGACTTCTTGGCCTCTCACTTGCCTTGACCTTTCCACACATCAGTCAGGGCATTACAGAATGAGTTAATGCTGGCGATAATGGAGGCAGCGTCTGACTCAGGCCTTTGACTTGATGGAAGAGGTCAGATTGTGGTGTTAACCCAAATAAGGAAATAGGTTTCTATCAGGGTGGGAACATTCATCCTGTCTCCTTCTGCCTCTCTTGCACAACAAGAACTTGAGATCAGATGAGCAGTATTATTATTTTAATCTTTAGTAGGTTTTATTACAATTAAATTAATTCTGCAGGGAAAAATCATTTTATAAACTCCTCAGAATTGCTTTTTTGCTCTACTTGCCAACGGATCCCCTTGTGTTTTCTCTTTGACCTGCTAAGGCAATGTTCAGTTTTGCAAGATGTCTAGAAGCTGTGAAATACTAAATCAAATGATCCATTGTTTATTTTCAGAGGTAAATTATTTATCTTGGCAGATTTTGTTGCTTTTGCTTATGCCTAGGGTGAACAATTCATAGGGAGATAAGGTTCTTGGCATTTCTGTCTTGTTTAGAAAATAAATTGATTTAAAGTGTTGGAGATTCTTTGCGTATATTTATGTGTATATATACAAGATGGGGCAAAAGTAGGTTTATAGTTCATATGGAAAATAGTACGATAATTAATAATAATACAAGAATAAACTGTTTCATGCATTCACAACTGTTCATCTACTTTTGCCCCACTCTGTATGTCATTTGAAGAGAACACCTACATTTTCATTGCCTCAAGAGACTGAAAGAAATATTTATTGCATAATATATGTTTATAAGGTTTTTGTAGAAATTTCAACTTCCATAAAAATGTATAAAGGTTATAATGCTTTTGAAAAACATTTAATATTGTCCCAGACAAAAAAATACATACATTGAATTTTACTGAGTTAACTGACCTAATCCTTGAGGACTAAAGAAATCTGAATTTAACTGAAGATAGTTATTTTAAGCCTGGCAGTTAACTCTTCAATAATGAGGGTTTTTTAAAATATAAAATTGTATAATGTTTTTGGCTAACTGAAAATGAATTATATAAAGTGTCTAATAAGGTCATTATATCTTTCAAAATTATAAACCTTACATACTTTGTATAAAAATTAAAAGCATTTGGATTGAACTCTTGATTTAGTGTTTTAGGTAGCTTTTTTTTAATACTGATACAATAGAGGATAGATGCAAGCATCTTGGAAATCTGAATGATCAACAGTCTTCAATTTGAGTGTAAGACAAACCTTTTATCAGCACTATGTGCTAATTAATAAAATAGACTAATCTCAGCTTTATCCTTGGCTGAGGGGATTGAAAAGCAATTAAAGAGGAGTGAGTACTAAATACAAATCTGAAGTAATATATGTTTTCTTTGTATTGGTCATTTTATATTCGGTACACACACACACAATTTGCCATGTACTTGCAGCAGAGCATTTAGAGTTAATCCTAAACCTACCCTATCGCTTATAATCCAAGTAAATATGTTTATTCTTTCTATAGGGACTTATATTATTTTGTATTCTGTGCTTAAAATAAACCCACCTTTAAGATAGAGTGTTTCTTATTTTTTTTAAAAAAAGAATAAAGAACTGATATACCTTAATTTTTCATGATTTTCAATGAAAATTTTAGATATTCTCCCTTTGGAGAATTACAGTGATTTAGAGCTATTAGCAAGTATTTTTGTGAGTTAAATGATATATCTGTAAATATCCTTAATATAGAATGGAATACCAGAAATGTTACTTTTTCTAAGAAAATTGATACTAATTTTGATTTAAAATTTTTATTGCAGCTAGAACGAGTAAATCTGTCTGCAGCTCAGACACTGAGAGCAGCTTTTATTAAGGTGAGGCACGAAAAATTTATTGTGAATATTAAATTGTATGTTATACATAAATCTAAATACCAGGTGATAATTGCCAGTTTATTCACTCTGAGTGATAACTCTTTCAACCACCTTGCGCCAGTTTGGTGTAAAACACTTCCAAAACATGAGCTGAAACAAATGCTCTTTCCTTAACATTTATCTTTTCACGTTGTGCTTTTAAATCTGTCTTTGGACTGTTCTCTCTTTAATTTTGGAGCCGATTTTTGAATTCTTTTTTTTATTTGACTTGTTAAAAACTTTTGTAAAATTATGACTCAAAAAGATTTTCTTCATATTGTTTAATTATAGGACATAAGTATAGAACAGTGTTTTTGAGTGGGAAGGTAAGACCTATTCGTGCATCAGATTAAGGGCACTTTGAGTATATACAGCTAAGTGGTTCAGCGTGGGTTATTCCACTGTCTGCAGACCTGAGATTTTCGGTTGCTAATCACTGGCCGCATGTTGCTGTTGAGCACTTAAAATATGGCTAGTTCCAGTTGAATTGCACTGCGCACATAAAATACACGCCAGATTTTGAAGACTTAGTGCAAGAAAAAGAATGCGAAGTAATTCAGTAATGAGTATTTTATATTGATTACATGTTGAAATGATAATATTTTAGATAATTACTTTTTAAAAATGTTTCAATGTGGTTACTAGATAGTGTAAAAGTACAGAGCCTTACATTTGTTTCTGCACTATATTTTTATTGAGTGGCCCTACTTTACATCTCAAACTTTATCTCATCCCCAAAATACATATTATGGTGCCCAAAACTTTAAATTTTTTATTTACTTTTTGTGTGTCTGTTTGTTTGTAGCAGCTAAAAAACTGATGTTCAAGGTGAAGTATTTTAATGTTTAGATCCAGAATAAATTTATAGTTGTGTTTCATTGGAGTTGAAACTATAAATCCATCCAGTATTTTTATGGCAAAGATTAGAGTTTAGGTACCACTCTTAACTGATAGCATAGATAATGTCACCAGACATCTCTCTTTCTCACCACAAGAAATCACATTGTGTATGTTGGATTAGAACTACTTTTGATGTGTACTGAAATGTAGAGCCTGGCACATACTCATACTAGCTCCTTTAAAATATATCTTTGCCAAATCATTGGGTTAATGAAGAGAATCAACAAATTAGTGCCATTATCATTTTTTTCCTTTCTTTCTTTGCTTATTAGTGTGGTTTGGAATGGCGTATTTGGTCATTAGGGAGGCATAATGGCAACTATTTTAAGCATCATTGTAACAAAGAAGGAAAAGGATAGGTTGCATAATGTAGCACTGATAAGGCAGAAGTTCTTCAGCTTTCCTGATACCAAGAGCACAGAGAAGTTTCTCCTTTGTGTTCTGATAAGGCCCTGTCTGAAGCAGTAGATGGTATACTAAATGACATTCATAAAGGAGATAAAATAATGAATTTCATGAAGCTTTGTCTTACACATAAATATAAGCTCATGTTTTAACACTGAAGTACAAGTTAAAAGCAAACAGTATGTTTAAAGTGTATGGCCATGGTAGATCTGGTTTGATACATGGGTAAATTTTGCTATCTACAGGATGGACTCTTAACTGAGGAGAGTGTAAGTTATTTTAGAGGAAAATATTAGTCCATTATGCATTGACTTATTCTTACCATATTTGTTAAATTTCATATGAAATTAAAGGAGGGCATGCATTGGAAAGATATTTTTGTGTTTTTTAAACTATTAACTTATTTATTTAAAAAAGATTGAAAAATCTCACCCAGCCATTTATCTGTATTTATATGCATATTTCCAGGTCTTTGGTTCACAACAATAGTCAATATTTATCAAGCTTCCATATCTATTTTTATTAGTTGGAGGAAAATGATTAAAATAATGTTTTTAATGATAAAATAATATTAATGATTATCTTTTAGGGATACCTATTCTGCTTTTGATTTGTTCCCCATCTGATAGGTTGTGCTGTTGAGAATCATTGATTCACAAGAGTGCATATTATTGCCCTAGGGGATAGTTTTCTCTCACAATTGGATTCTACATAAAAATTGGATACCCAGAGAGTTGAGGGTTTTATTCTGGGGGGGAAAACCTGTAGGTAGAGAGTCTCTAATTTGATGGTAGATCTATATATTTTGTCAGAGTCATTGGGTAAATTTAAGGCTTTTAAAAGAAGTAGCTTAAATAAGACTTGAAACAGAAGATACTAAAACAACTGCTGTCAAACTCTGTGCCAAGGCACCGTGGGGCCCCATAGCAAACTTGGGTGTCATGAGATATTTTAAAATTTTGAAGAAACATGGTGTTATTCAACACCTGGTTCACACTGAACTACTTGCCATAATTTGCTATGTCAACATGTTTGATTGGGTTACATTCCTTTCAGTGATGTCATGTCTGTGGTGGCTGGACTTTTGGCCATTGCTGTGATCAAAAGCAAGAACTACAAGAAAATCAAAGTACAACGGGAAATGGGGAAAAGTGTCCAATCTAATTCTAACATATGAGACATTGTGCACTGCCCAACAGGGTGCACAGATCTCATTTAAAAAAAAAAGTTGTTACGGTTATTTAAGAGTGAAATTAAATGCTTTTCTTTCAGTTTGTATATTTTTAAAGGCTACTGAGTTTTTAGGATGTCATTTATTAAGTTATTTGAACCTAACTATTTAGTACACAGCACTGTTAGGTATTGCTTTGGGCACAAAGAACACTGAACTGAGAAAGTTAGGGGCCTCTGTGCGATTTCTGTAATGTTCCACTTTGGCATTTTGAGGCCTCAGGCCAACTTGGTATTGAAAACTCTCCTTTGAGGCTTTCAGCATTTCATTTTTTCAGCACCTTATTTTAACTTAATTGGAGAGACTGTTTTCTGCAGGCATTGTCTAGAAGCATGTAGAGAATGCTCCCTTGCTTCCCAAGATCATGTGTATTGATGATTTAGGAAAGATAAATCAGTTATCATATGTAATTTTGTGGCAGTTTACCGCATTATTAAAGTTTATACCATTTTAAGTGATATTTGTACAGCTCCTTTTATTTTTTTATTGTATTTTTTTCCATTGCCATTTAGTCCCCTTAGACTCTCTTCACCTGAGCTTTTCATTTGAAGGCAACGCTTTTTTTTTGTTTTTGTTTTTAATAGATTCTGTCTTAAATATGTTCATGGAAGAAAAATCAAAAACAGATTATGTAGTTCATCCACAGTTACACTTTAGTTACCTGTGATAACTGTGGTCCACATTCCATGGAATAGTCCATAAATAATAATTTCTGTCATTTTTAAATTATAAATTTGTTTTAAATTTTAAATTTATGAGTTCTAAAATTCCAGAAAAAATAATAATAAAAAGTTTCTAAGTTTTAAATTTTGTGCTGTCGTGAGTATTGTGATGAAATGCCACAGCGTCCCGCCCAGCCCCAGCCAGGCCATGACTCTTTGTCTGGCCTCTCCATGCGGTTTGAACCCCCCCCCCCCCCGCCATTAGCCATCTAGTCACCTTCTCAGTGAGCAGATCAGTCCATCACAGTATCGCAGGGCTTGTGTTTAAGTAACCCTTATTTTACTTAATGATGGCCCCAGAGCTCAAGAGCAGTTATACTGGCAATTCAGATTTGCCAAAGAAAAGACATAAAGTGCATTCAACTTAATAAGGAAAAGAAAATTTCCTATGTTGTTGTTGATAAGGTCTCTGGTAAGAACGAATCTTCTATTCACGAAACTGTGCAGAAAAAAAGAGAAATTTGTGAAACTCGTGCAAGTTTGCTATCGCATCTCAAACTACAAAAATAACGGCCACAGTGAGTGATAAGTGTTTAGTTAAGTAAAAAAGTCATTAAATTTGTAAGCAAAGACATGAAAATAAAGCGTTCCGATAGATCACAAAAACATGTTGCACTGGAAAACATTAAGCCTATGGGAAGAATTCAGCAAGGGATCCCTTGTAACGAGTAACACCAAGCCATAGTTATCTAACTTTTCCTATAGAATATTGATATAATTTTTCCTTTTTTTTAGATATTGTTGGTCTCTTACTGTTTTATTTAACATAAATTGGCCTAATTTATGTTAAACTTTATTGTAGATACGTATGTAAAGGACATAGTATAGACAGTCCCCAACTTATAATGATTTGACTTAATGGTTTTTCAGCTTTTCAGTGGTTTGAAAGCTATTCGCATTCAGTAGAAACCATACTTGCAATTTGGAGCTCTCATCTTTTCCTGGGCTAGTAACCTGTGGTAGGATACTCTCTCATGTTGCTGAGCGGTGGCAGCCAGCTGTAGTCCCAGTCAGGCAGTTGATCATGAGGGTAAACGACCAATACTCCACAGTGTACTGTGTTACCAGTGTTTTTTAGATATTGTGTTCTGAGTATGGGTAGCCTTAGCTAAGCTCTAGTGGTTCAGTTGCTTATGTGTATGAAATGCATTTTTGAGTATGAGGATATTTTCAGTTTGTGATGGGCTTGTAGGTTCTCTAAGTTGAGGACCATCTGTATGTATAAGGGTTTCGTGTACTGTCCAAGGTTTCATGCATCCACTGGGGGTCTTGGAACATATCCCCTATGGATAAGGGGTAACTGTTGTTAAAAGAAATAGATTTCAGTAGGGCACACTTTTTTGTTATTAATAATCTATCACAATGACTTGCTGAATAACATTTGACAACAGTTAAAATGAACTCCAGATTGAATGTTGTATATTTTGTTTTTCCATGTCATTCCACAGCCTTTTACTTTTTGATACTGATATCTAATGAGAAACAAGATGCTATAATAGAGAGAGCAATAGGAGCAGAAGAAAGCTGGTTCTGCGTTGGTACCAGAAGGGAATTGAAAAGGTAGAGGTTAAATGTGCTTGAGACATAAGAGAAAACAAATAGGTTGCCCTCTGGTGAAGATCATAAATTGTTTTTACTTTCTCTTTTAATATCAGGGCAAGAAAGATTGGAAATCATCAGTATAATAACTAAAATTGGTAGTCATCCTAAAAGAAACAAACTTAGGGTGTAATTCTAAAAATTAAAAGCAATTATGAAATGGGACAGAATAACTGGAGAAAACTCAAATCTTAAAAATTAAAATTAACTTTGGTAAACTCAGAACTCTTTGTGTTCAGTCTTGAAATGACTAGACGATTTTAGTGCCCAAGGGAGGGACATAGAACCCATGCAAACTCATTAGTGAAACAGGCTCAGGGGGTAGTGAAGGATTAATGATGTTCTGAAAACTAGTGAAGGAAATATTCATGCTACAAAAATAAAACAAAGTGAAAGTCATTGTGTAGGAGAGTATTTAAGGGATTATATAGCTTCAGTAAAACTTGAAAAAGAATTCCTATTTTGGTTTGGTTTTGTTTTGTTTTTTTCCTGACATTCTGTTCATTTAAATGAAAACAATCTGCAAAATGCTGGTGAAATGAGTAGTTGCTTGATCCTCAAGTTGAAAGATTAGCTAATGAAAAAAAGCTAAAAATCTTCAGTATATTTAAACTACTGAAAAAGTAATTGATGGATTAACAAAATATATATAATGTTTATTTATGCCTTTGATTGCAGGAGGTTGTTAAGGAGAAGTAGGAAATGTTAAGTACTTTCTGTTCAAATGGTCAGTGGGACCATGTCTGTAATAAGAAGTTACTGATGTTTTAAGTTTTAACAAAACAAGTGAATGCCATCACCACACCTGCTTTACAAAAATTCCTGATCTTTACGTTGATTAGGCTAAGCTCCCAAAGATTCTAAACAATTAAATTTTAGTTTTGAAGTTCTGGTTTTGTTCCCGTGTTTCAACATAGTTTTCTCTTACAGGCTGAAAAAGAAAATCCAGGACTCACACAAGACATCATTATGAAAATTTTAGAGAAAAAAAGTGTAGAAGTTAACTTCACAGAGTCCCTTCTTCGAATGGCAGCTGATGATGTAGAAGGTAATCACAGTCTTGTTTTCTTACAGTTGTTGAAAAACACTTCCTCCAAATCTTTTATTATTTGACAAAATGGGCAGCCTCCTCCTTCTCTATTCCTTTTTCTTTTTGTTATTATTGTGATGATAATTGGGGGGAAAACTCTATAAAATAGAAAAGTAGTTCTCTGTTTTATATTTGTCAGATTTAACTACTTGAAGTGTTTATGATGTGCACTTTTAATTTTTTCTGCTATTAATATTTTTGATGCGTTCTGGTTTCGCCAAAAGATAAACTTTAGGGAATGGTTATTTGATTTTGTGTTCACTTTATGCAAATAGCAGTTTGAAATGATAAGGTTTTCTAAAACTTGAGAGTTTTTTTTTTTTAAAGCACAGATTTGAGAGAATAATATAATCCTTCTTTCTGCTTCTAATTTTTGGCTTTTTTTTAAATAATTAGAAATGGATTTCATATAAATTTAGTAGCTGTTTTCCCCCTAATTAAGAAAAATGTAGAAGTATAATTTCCCATATTTAGTGAGAACAAAAGTAAATATTTTAACTGATTCAGCAACTTACAAGAAAGTTCTCATTATTATTCTAAAGGTAAACATTTCCAGCCTGTGAGGCCAGGTATATTGATTGGAAAGGTTGTAATGTTTCCAGGTGTACAGTGAATCTGCTGGTAGTGTTTTTGCCTCTACCACATCTGATGGAACTTCCCTTCCAAAGTTGCTATTCTGTGATCTAACTCTTGTATGGAATTTTTGGTAGTGTTTCTGTTTTTAAGTGAGATTTCAAGAATGTACTGACGATTTTAGTAGGTTGTTTGGGTTTTGATGTGAGACGTTGTATGTTCAAAGTAAAAATTTTTGTTAAACTCTTTTTCCCCACCAGCAGCTACATATTGCCATCATACTTGTCTTGAATGTCATTACTTTAAGGTTTCCTTGAGAGGTGCAGCTTCAGAGGCCTGCTAAATTTGATTAACTCCCTTTTAATTTTATTTATTTATTTATCATGATTTCATGGGCTGTTTACCCCAAATTGAAAATATGTAGTCTTTCATCTTCTGTTACCTTACTTAGTAAGAACCCTGTTATTACCATACTAAGTTGAACTCTAACAAATTCAGCTTTGCAGCCTCGCCTTTCCTAGTTATCTGGCCTTTCTCCCCTCTCTCTCCCTCTTGACCAACATTAGGAATTGTGAGGCTTGCATTTGACAGGGAATTGCTTGACACTTTTTATTGTATATTTATTTCATCAGAGTATATGATTGAACGACCAGAGCCAGAATTCCAGGACCTGAATGAAAAGGCACGGGCACTTAAACAAATTCTCAGCAAGATCCCAGATGAGATCAATGACAGAGTGAGGTTTCTGCAGACAATCAAGTAAGCAACTTTTTGTTTCTGTCCTTTTTTTCTCAAAGTACTTTTCAAAGGGACCACTTATTCTAGATGTTTTATTTTGGTATGACATTGATATTAATTTGAAGTAAATTTGGAGTTTTTAAATGCTACATCTTTATTAACTTCTAAGTGGTGGCATTTGGCTTTAGAGTACAATAACATTTTTTTTTTTAGAATGTTTAATTTTAAACAGCAAATGAAATGTACATCAACTGGAATATAGTTTAAACTACATAAAAGTAGAAAAATGTAAATGTCAGATTAAAGTGAATAGAGAAGTTGGATAAATTATAGGGATTGATAACAAAGGAAACCAATATTATATTTACTTCAGAAATGGCACAAGTCATGTACTCTTCTTGAATAGAATTTCTAATATTGACCAAAATTGTGAGGCTCCAAATCCTTGCCTTTGAGACCTTGCCTTTGAGATACAGGTTTAAAAAGACTAAAAATGTGTGGGGCCAGGCAACTGGCTATTGAGCAGAGTCATCGTAGAGCAGCGGCTCTCAAACCAAAGGAACTCTCCTCAGGGGTGAGAAGATGGGGGGATGAGGAGGGAACTGCAGGCATAACTTTGAGATGAGTATTTTTAAATTGAAGCGTTGGGTAATTTGCTTCAGCCTCAGTGGGTAGACAACAAAGAAATCTGGGAATAATTGTAGTGGCGTTATTAATGCAACCTGTTGGTGAAACCACAACTAGAAATTGCTAGAAAGGAAAGTTTTAACGGTTGCATCAAACATATCTTTATAGAACTTACCGAGGCTCACTTGGGATAAATATTAACATTCATTTCTCAGAAATAGTATTCTTTATCATTTACATTGCAAAGTGCTATTTTAGCTAGTTTGGGCACCTGTATTTTGACTGATATAGACGGAGGAGTATATCTCATTTTAGAAGATAATGGGTACCCAGCAGAGCCATCAAGAAGTGACCCTCCCCGCCCCACTTTTCAGTCTTCTAATTGAAGACCAGAAAGTATAATAAAAGCTTCAATGACTAGTCAGAATCTGTGCAACAGAGGACAAAACCTAAAATAAATATTTTACTACTAATGAAAAGCCCCAACTTCCTTTAACTATTTTTAGTATGTGAAGACTGAAGACAGTCAACTGTTCATGGATTTTTATTTTTAGTTAAATAGGAAGTAAACATGTTTGGCCTGTAATATCATAAATTGTCAGTAGTCTCAAACACAGCTGTTTAAACAACTTTATATCTAGATTTTCTAGTAATTAAGTTTAAATTTTTTTTTAACTTTTTAAAAAGATTTTATTTATTTATTTTTAGAGAAAGGGAAGGAGAGAAACATCAATGTGTGGTTGCCTCACATACGCCCCCAACTGGGGACCTGGCCTGCAACACAAGCATGTGCCCTGACTGGGAATTGAACCAGTGACCCTTTGGTTCATAGGCCGGTGCTCAGTCCACTGAGCCACACCAGCCAGGGGTTTAAATTTCTTTAAGTGATCTATACTACATTTCTATGAAGATTTGACATTTTAAAAATATTTTCAGCAGATTTTGCTTTGGGTCATTGAAGTTAGAGGTTTACAGAATCAAAAAATTAATTTACAGAATTAATAATACTGTCACTTATATAGAACTAACATGCTAAGCACTTTTTAAAGCACTTTATATGCATATTAACTTATTACAAAGCCCTGTAATAGATGAGGAAATGGAGGCATCAGAAATTAAATAAGTTTCCCAAGTACACAGAGCTGGTAAGTTGGTAGCGCTTGGTTTAAAACCAGGTAGACTGACTCCAGGGTCTCTGCTGCTGCTTTCCTGTCATAGATTCATGATGTTGAGCTAATGTGGTAATTGAATGAGAAGTTTCTGTGGTTTGGAAGAAGTGTGATAAAGGAAATCTTTATATAGACTGCCAGTAGGTAAGAGGGAGAGTAGTGTTGTGGTTGATGCTGGGGTAGAAATGATTGGCCCAGAGCCCTCATCTGGCTACTTTGATTCCCTCTCTCCCCCTGTAGAGACCCTGAAGCATCTGTGTTAAACTCAGTATGGCTCTAGAGACAGCTGGAAAACCTCGTTATTAACAGCCACATTTTAATCGTAAGGATGTTGAGGTCAAGAACCGAAGAGCCTTATCCATAGCCATTGACAGAGGCTGCATTAGGGTCATGTCTCTCATTTATGGGGCAGTAATAATATTTTAGTTGTTTTCTCGCGTGTACTCAGCACAACTGAATTAAGATTATTGGCAGTTAAAATTTATTTTTTAAACATTTTAGGAGGGATAATATGCCATGGAAAGTTTGTTCATAATATGTATTATTTCTGAGACTAAAATTCAATGATGTACTAATTAGCATATGTGGCTAAAGGTGCAATTATTTGTTTGAGAGAGAGAGAGAGAGAGATTGATTTTGATACACATTGTTACCACTGTTAAATTGTTGAACAAATTAATAGCTAAAGTTTTCACAAAATAAAAAATGATTTATCCTTTAGGCACACAGATTGTGCAGTTTCTGTTTTTGTTTAAAATATTTTACTTTCTCATATTTAAGATAGCTATGCTCTTTTTTCATTTATTTTAGCAATGTTTTTCAATAAGTATGTATCAAATATCTATTATACCAAGTACTGTACATGATGGATTATATTAGAGAAGAAAAACGATTCCTGTCAACTAACAAATACCCAGATACTTTTGTGTGTGTTAGCAGACCTAGGTATAAATCTCCATTCCAACATTTAGCTGTCTGACCTTGGACAAAATGCTTTGCTTCTGTCATTTTAATTTCTGCCTGTGAAGATGAAGGTAATAGTTGTGAGAATTGAAAGAAATACTAGCAAAGAACCTAGCATCCACTCAGCGTATACTAGCATTGTGAAATAAGGTTGTTCGGTTTTTTTTCAAAATATCTCTTTGGAGTTGATTAGGAAAAATGATCCAGCAAACATATATTTTATAAAGTACTTTTGATTAATGAATGTTTCTTTTTGACTGCATTTGAGCTTACACAAATATTTTATAAAATGAATTCATGGAATTTTTTTTCAAGTCCAAAACATTCCAATTAATGGATGACTAGTGGAGACTTGTGATTCACTGGACCATAAAGCTGTGCATTTATCTATTTGTTCATTATAATCTTCATTTGCATATTCATAGGCAAAAAAATCGCCAGGGTTTGGTTTCAATGATGGCTTCATATTAGCTTTTCTGGAGGTGCCCAGTCTAGACAAAACTAAACATACAGCATAGGAATTTCCTTCCTTTAGAGTATTTGCATAAACATTTACAAGTGTGGGTGATACGATTATAAGCTCTGCTATTCTATGCAGTTTTTTGATAGGATGTATGTTTGTATTTCATCTGATGCCTTTTGCCCTCTTTCATTATGTATTTTTCTCCGAAGTTGCCCCACCAAATAGCTGCAAATTGCTAAAATGTATTCCTATTATACCCATACTCTGTGTCCCTTAACACAGAAACCATTAACTTCAGCATATAATTATACTATAGTTATTTTACCCTCAAGTTTTCCCTAGTTCTTTATCTATTTAATTGAAGTATTTTATGTGCATGTGTGTGCTGGTGTTTTCTTTTTCAGGAAACAAACCCTCAGTTTTTGGCTAATATAATTTTAGCTTCCGTGGTTCCATAAATGAAAATGTTGTTCAGTGTACATACAGATGACATAATATTTGACAAATTGCTGTGCTTGTGTTATAGAAGGCCAAGCCTGAGGATTAACAGCCTTGATCTTTATAAAGCTCTGTGGCAAATAAAGGATCAAACCTCAACCCTAGCTTCAGGATTCCCACACAGTGGTTTCCAAACCAGGTTTATCAGAAGAATCACCTAAAGATTTATTTTCTTCCCCCCTTCTCTTTTAAAGCACAGACAGGTTCCCAAAATTCATTAATAGGATGGAGTACTGCCCACTAAACCCTCCCTTCTCTCCCCTGCCCCTGCGCCCCCTTTTGATTTTTTAGGTGAGTGAGTGAGCAGCCAGCTTTAGAATTGCTCTTTTGACCTGTGCAATCCAGCCATTATCATTTTATAGGGAACATATGTTCATGTTGCTGGCCAGCAGTGAAAGGGCATTTTTATCCTTTTTTAGCAGAATGTTAAAGTTGACCACAAAGTACAGTTGTGTATAAACAGCTCTCTGATCACTGTGTAATTTACCCCAGTGTATTTTGTTTTAGGGCTCATTGTGGATTTCAAGAATCATATTCAGAGATTTGAGAATTTTTATTTGTTGAAATTGTTACTTTCTCACTAATAGGATGGTCATGTGACATTGTTTTATTGCACATAGGTGGATTTACAACTTGCTTAAAACCAAATGAAAGGAACAGTTAGAGACCAAAAGAAGTGCACAGATGTCATCTCTATGTAAAAAATTCTTTGTCTTATTTGAGTATTTGATGTTTCAGTGTTTCAGCCTGATGCTGATGTTAAGACATATAGGATGCAATAAGTAAATATTTATTGTAATGTCATCACTACTTTAGAATAGGATAAAATACCTTTTTTAATACCAAAATCCTAACTACTTATAATTTTTAGAATTTCCACATGTTTATTAGAAATATAATGTGAAACACACATGCACACAGAAACCTGGACAATCTGGATACTGAGTTGTTTTGTTCTTTTTTTTTCCTTTAAGTAAGTAAAGTTGAAATGTTATAGGTATGAAGTAACTAAAATCTGATATTTGTGATTAAAAAGTCAGTAATAAAAAATTTCATTTGGAATGGTCTGGATTTATGTCTTACTACTTCGTACCTTCATACTTGGATTAAATTTGAACAGCAAAGAGAATGGATGTGAGAAAGAGAAGGCCTACTTTAGAGAATGTGAGACTGTGGGTGCAGAATTATGTTTAAGTTCAGTTTGACCAAAAAAATCGCTATGGAGTTAGAACATAAAAATTGAAAAGAGCATAGATATAAAAGACAAGAGTTCAGAAAAAAATGATGCATGGATAGGAGGAATAGTCAAATGAGAATTGATGGGTTTCTTCTCTTTCTTTGGTAGGGGCGGGAGGTGTTGATGCACATAGATGTAGCAAAGGATGATTGCTGGAAAGGTTAAGGTAGAAAATACTCTGATATTGTCTCTCCCAGAAATTTAAATTAAATATAGTTTTAGAATGAGAGGATATGTGGTGGTTAGAGAGAAGGTAAATGTGTGGAGAGAAGAGCTATGAAATATTTTAAAAACATCAAACTATTAGGTATGTAAGTCAAAGTGTCAGTTAATATAGAAATGAGTTACATATGATAGCAAAATTTCATATACTTGTTCATAAGATAGCAAAAGTAGAAAATATGGTAACTTGAATTTGGCTATATTAGTGAGAGAAAGGAAAAATTATACCTGGGGAAGATGAGAGGCAGAGGCATATTCTTTTAAATTTAAGTAAGGCTGAATAAAATGTTTACTAAATCGGAAAGTTGATGCTATGGAGTGTTTGGACAGTAGCACAAGAGAAGGCAGCATCATAGCAGGGACATGCTAAAATGCCACCCACCAGCCAGTCAGGTGTTTGTGCATGACATAGTATGGGTATGATAATTAACAGTGTGATTAGTAATTCTTCAAAATGTGCATATACTTAACTGATTGTAAGAAGATTCTCTTTTCCTTATCCAACAGGGATATAGCTAGTGCAATAAAAGAACTTCTTGATACAGTGAATAATGTCTTCAAGAAATATCAGTACCAGAATCGCAGGGTAAGTTACCCTAGAAGCCTTACCACTGCTGCCCTAGTTGGGTTTACACCTACTTGTTTTATTGAATTAAATAGTAAGATGGTTTGATTACTGGGAATGATCTCCTGTCTTTGACTTTGGCTTTTGTGTTGCGTCTTTTTTGTTATTTAGTGTTTTCTCTTACTATTGTTTTTATGTCTGCAGGCACTTGAACACCAAAAGAAAGAATTTGTAAAGTACTCAAAAAGTTTCAGTGATACTCTTAAAACATATTTTAAAGATGGCAAGTAAGTACTTTTATGTGTTATCCTTCTCTTTTAGTTTGTATTGATTGATCTGAGAGTGTGAGAGAGAGAAGCAACAATTAAAGTGTTGTTTCACTTATTCATTCATTCATTGGTTAATTCTTGTATGTGCCCTGACCTGGCATTGAACGGTCAACCATGGCATATCGGGATGATGCTTTAAGCAACTGACTTACCTCGCCAGGGCAGTCCTTCTCTTTTAAAATTAAATAACATATGGTTTATATGATATCAAAACTATATAAATTAAACCCTTTTACTGTATTGTTAATACTCATATCAACTACTAACTAAGATAAACTGTTAAAAATAAAAAGTGAATGGTTGATAATCCAGCTATACCAGTCTAGGCCAGGAGTTGGTGGACTTTATTCTGAAAAGGGGCCAGGAGCGAATATTTTGACTTGGTGATCTTGTGGCAGCTGCGCACCTCACCTGTGTTGTTGTAGTGAGTGCAAAAGCAGCCGTAGATAATATGGAGACAAGTGGGCATTATTATGGCCACATTCTAATAAAACTTTATTTATAGGCATGGAAATGTACATTTGGTATAATTTTCACCTGTTACTATTCCTGTTTATTTTTTATTTTACCATTTAAACAACATAAAAGTATTCTTAGCATGCAGTCCATAGAGAAACAAGGTAAGACTTGGCTTATTGGCCCAACTTTCTTAATAGCATCAGAATCCCTCGGAGGGCTTGTTAAAGCACAAATTGCTTTTGGGTTCCACCCCAAGAGTCTCTTATTGTCTAGGATGGCCCCAAGAATTTGCATGTATTTCTAAGAAGTTTCCAGATGATACTGATGCCCTAGGTCTGTTGAGAGCTGCTGCACTAAAGTTAAAACAATGGTTCTCAATCCTGTTTGCATAGTAGATTCACCTGGGTTCAGTTTTTTAAAACCCCAGCGCCTTGACTCCACCTTCAGAGATGCTGATTCATTTGGCTTGGAGTGGGGACAGAGTTTATGTGTTTCATAAAAGTGTGCTAGGTGATTTTAAAGTGTGCATAGTTGAGGTTCATTGTCCTGGAAAGAGGGACACTTTCACAGAAACTATAGTAGAAAAGTAAATTGGGTATTTTTTTAAATTTCTATACAATTGGCTATTGAACACTCCAGAAAAAAAAATTTGTGTTTTTATGCATATACACATGTACACATAATGTATGATCTGATGGCAGAGGCCATGTCTTCTGTGGAAGCTCATACCTTATAGAGAATTTCTTTTGTATCTCAAGTAGAATTCAGGAAATTTTGTTGACAAAGCCATTTTCTAACAGTGTTAAACTCACAAAAGTAAATTGTGATTATTTCAGCTACAATTGACAGGGACCTCTGCATTCTATCCTACTACTGAGGTTTTAAGATTCCTGTATCCATGTCAAATTATTACAATATTACTGTAATAATATTTTTATTTATTTACTTTTTAAAATATTTTATTCACTTATTTTTAGAGAGAGAGGGGAAGGGAGGGAGAAAGAGAGGGAGAGAAACGTCGATCAGTTGCTTCCTGTATGCACCCCTGACCAGGGGACCGAACCCGCAACCCAGGCACGTGCCCTGGCTGGGACTTGAACTGGTGACCTTTCTTTATGGGATGATGGCACAACCCACTGAGCCACACAGACCAGGGCTGTAATAATATTTTTAAAATAATAAAATAATACATTAGAATAGGTCTACTGATTTTAAAAAGCTATTTTTAATAGTTCAAATAGGTCAGAATATTTACATTTATATTATGAATTAAAGATACTAAGCTAAAGTATTAATGGTTTTTTTATTGTTCCATACTACTATTCAGGTTGTCTAAGGGAAGTGCTTTAGTTTAATAAGCTGGCAAGGTGTGTTCTGAAAATAAACTTACATCTGCTTTTCCTTGATCTCCTCTGCAAAGCCCAAATAACCAAAAACACATTAAAAGAATAATATACATGTTGGGATCATTATTTCTGATTTTAATTAATTAAGAACTATCACAGAATAAGCACATTAAAAGGTAGAAATTCATTTAGAGCCTAATTTTATTAATCTGAAATGGTTCAGTTTCAGTCTGGAATCACTTGGGTTCAGTAATTAAAAATCCCAGTGCCTTTGCCCCAAAGTCATTTTTAACAGTTTAGACAGACATGTGGATTATTCAGGCCTCCTGCCATTACTTTTTCTCCATTCAGCAGCTTCTTTAAATTACAGTTATTTGTGTATGAGTAATGTGCCATGAGTTTTGTACCCGTTTCCTCAAACTGAAAGTTACTACTACAGCCTGATCTTTGAGCTATGTTTCAGCTGAGGGGGATGAATTTGCATTGATTCAACTTAATTCTTTGGGGTTCCACTTTTTTGAGAAATGTCTAGGATGAAAAATGAAGTCTTTAGCTCTGTGATTAAGGTGCTGGTAGAGCCACGTAATGGGACTAGGGCATCAGCTATATTAGTCTCATGAAGATGGGCTGATAGGAAATGTGGGATAGCACAACATGATTTCTTAGAATATGTTTTTATATATTGTTAGCTCCAAAATATTGAAACTGCATGATTATTTTGTTTTAAAAATAGATTGGGAAGAGTCATATTTGAAAGTAATTAACTTTTTCTTAAGTATTTATAATGCCCATTGACATAGATTTTGAGACTGAGTGTTAATACTTTTGCAGATTTTTCCTTGGTAACTTCTATGAAATCACGGCTGGAGAGTACATTTGAATCAGTTTTTGTTCGACCTGTAAATAAACCCTGGTGGTTCGAGGGCCACCTGTCTTTAGCAGCCCTCCAACACCTAATTGCCAACCAGAGCCACTAGGGGGCAGTAATTCCTAGTTGCAAATGATTGAGGCCCATTGAATTCCATCCACTATGAAATAAAAGTTATGGTACTCCATACTAACTTGCCATTTTCCCAAGTTAATTTCATTTCTACTGTTAGTAGATGGAATTAGTATAAATATTTTTAAAGAATGAATTTTGGGGGTAAAATTAATGCGTGTTCTTTTTTTTTTTTCTTTGAACAGGGCAATAAATGTGTTCATAAGTGCCAACCGACTAATTCATCAAACCAACTTGATACTTCAGACCTTCAAAACTGTGGCCTGAAAGTTGTATATGTTGAGAGATGTACTTCTCAGTGGCAGTATTGAACTGCCTTTATCTGTAAATTTTAAAGTTTGACTGTATAAATTATCAGTCCCTCCTGAAGGGATCTAATCCAGGATGTTGAATGGGATTATTGCCATCTTACACCATATTTTTGTAAAATGTAGCTTAATCATAATCTCACACTGAAGATTTTGCATCACTTTTGCTATTATCATTCTTTTAAGAATTATAAGCCAAAAGAATTTACGCCTTAATGTGTCATTATATAACATTCCTTAAAAGAATTGTAAATATTGGTGTTTGTTTCTGACATTTTAACTTGAAAGCGATATGCTGCAAGATAATGTATTTAACAATATTTGGTGGCAAATATTCAATAAATAGTTTACATCTGTTAAACATTTCTTTACTTGAAAAAATGGATGCATATGTGTGAATAGATATATATGATCAGAAGACCAAGACTGCTTGGGTTAATATCGAAAGAACTACTAATGGGAGCTTATTAGCAGTTTATCAGATAATAAAGCAGCAAAGAAAAAAGATTTTTTTCGGTCCTTGATCACTCTGTACAAAAAATAGTCAATGGAAGTATTTTTTTAGTTATTATATATAGGGTACTGAATATTTTTCCAGCCTGCTTTAAGAAACATATGAGAGAGATGGCAATTTATAGTGTCTTTGCACTATAATGCTACTTTTTGAACTCTGTGACTATGTAAACTTAGGTCATTCTTGTGTGCTAGGCCCTAATAAGCCCTGCACCGTTTTTCCCTAAAACAGCCACAACTAATAGTAACTTGAACCTATACCAATGCTAGCTGGCTTGAAACTGTCATGAGTGGTAGTAATAATAATATACACTCTTTAAATATATATAGTTTTAAGGAAGTTACGTATCAAATATTCATGTTAAGCATTTTCATTTTTCAGTTACAGTGAAATAAAGGAAAGATCAGAATTTGTTTATCTTTTATAAAGATTTTAAATGTTGAACTAAACTTACGTTGGGAATATAATTTTTTGTTACAATGCAATTTAGTTATTTTTAAAATTTCATTTTCAAAAAGATTGTTAAAGAATTACTATTGTTGGTGATAGAACAGGAGATTGTCCTGTTAGATGTAAATAGGAAATATGTGGAAAGAAGCAGAAAACAATAGACTACTGGATGAAATCTCATTAATTTATGGACGTTTTACCGAATTGATTTTTTTTTTCTTTCAAGAGAATAACCAGTAAAATAAATAGAATTGGTGATATTAATACTATTTATTTTTGACATAAACTGTTATTTACTCTTGGAAGTAGATGGATAATCATTTGCAAAATAGACATTAATATATGAAAAAATATATATAATTATTTTTTACAAGCAGTAGTCTTTTCTAATATAAACCAGTACTTTTTATTCCACCATCCAGGATCTCTGGCTTTGGTTTTCCTGAAATTTACCTCCAAAAAGGAGGCTTATTTTCAGGATAGTAAAATTTCTTATGTAATCCTAGAGGGGCTGAAATCAGGTCAGTGGGGAAAAGGGCCAGTGTGGCCTGAGTCAGAAATATCTCTAGAGAACAGAAGGTGGCTCCCAAGGAAAGGAAGACAAGGGGCCATGTTGAGCCCCTTCCCTGGGTGAAGCACTATTCTAGATATATTCGTTTAATTGTCCTGTCAGTCCTATGATTGAGCTATATGCCTTGCTGTGGAGGAGATGAAGAAAGCTTAGGTTACAAGAGGTGGTACCAGCTGGAGGCAGGGTTTGATTCAGCGTTTATCTCCAGACTCCACTCTACTTGTACCAAACTGCTTCATCCATTGCCAAAAATGGGCCTTGTTTAGAATACTAATTCCCTAACACCAAGCTGACAGAGCTCTCCTTGGTCCACAGGGAAGTGAGAAAAGCTAGGGCATGTGATTATCTTTTTTATACATCTAAATTTTATTTCCAAGGGTCACTCTTTTATTTGGTGATAATGGTTAATTTTTGAATGTTTAAAATGCCCCCTCATACTTTGTTTAAATGAAATGATAGTATCGTAGATGATAGTCTTTTATTTTTCAATAATTGCATTTTAATAACCTTGTTCAGCAACACATGAGAATCCAATCCAATAACAGTCTCTTCTATTTGTTTTTTAACTTTTTATGGAAATGATTTCAAGTGTACAGAAGATTGGCAAAAATAAGACTTGTACAAAGAACATCTCTATATATCTTTTACCCGATTGACCTACTACTGAGATTCTGCCATTTTTAACATTTGCTTATTTACCCTCCTCTAAGCCTCCTTTACTCTGGATCTTTCCCATGACCCCCCTTTGTCTTTTATGGCATTGACATAACATGTTTTTGAAGAATAGTCTTCTGTCTCCTCTACCCACCTTTTAAGTAGAATGTTCTTTGCCTTGGGTTTCCTCATTAGATTCAGGTTGTGCATTCTTAGAATACTACAGTGGTGGTCCTCTGTCCCCAGGTGTCACATCTGCTCATTGGCGATGTTAATTTTGGTCACCAGGTCAGCGTGGTCGTCACTTTCTCCAATGTGTACCTAACCGTTTTTTACCTTGCATGTAATGAACAATCTGGGGGACTCTTTCGGAGTCCATGCTAACAATATTTTTCCCAGGATTTAGCATCTGTTCACGATTCTTGCCTTTGCCATCTTTATTTTGATAGTTGTGGAATGATTTCCCACTTCCCGCATTTCTCCCTTATGTCCCAGTTAGCACTTGGCATTCGCTGTCAGCAGGAGCCCGCCTTTGTCCTTCACCGCCCATATCTGCCCACGGGCATTGTTTATATTAGCTATCGTTCTGGATTCCTGGTTTTCTATTTTTTTTTTTTTTAATGACTTGTATTTCATTACTTACTTTGGTGCTTAAATTCTTTGGTGCTTAAATTACCTTAGATTTGGCCAGTAGGAGCTTCTTCAATCTGGATCCTATTTCCTTGTGGTGTCTTTTTTTTTTTTTTTTTTAACACATCATTTTAAATAAAAGATGTTCCAGGATCTGGAATCAGCAATTTTTTCAAGGAGTCCTTGGGAATGATAGATACTTGGATCTGGCTGCTGGGTATGCTCTGTGTTACTCCGTGTTTTCCTGCTGATAGACCTGTTCAGCAGACAGAACTAGGAAATGTTCGTATACATAGACATGCATGGACACACATGTTTTACATGTGCTCACATCTGCGTTTGATTTTAGAAATGATGCATTCACACTAATACCTCCAGTTTGCATCCATTCTCATAGGGTTCTCTCTTGCCATCCTCTTTCCTTATTTCTGTGTCCCTTCTTCCTCAGAATCCTCTCCCAAAAAAGCCCATCAGTTCATTCACTTGTTGAATCCTATAATACATCTAAAGTAGGTTTTTTTCCCCGCCTCTGCTGGTATCACTGTAAAATACACACTGAAAAGCCTGTAATATTGTATTCTCTCCCTACCTGTATACCGTGCCCAAGATTAAGGATATTTAATTACATTCTGTATTCATAAATTACTTCTCTCTCTCACTGTGATTATTTGTTTGAAATAAATTTGGTTCATTTGTTTCAGCTTTCTTCCAAGTTTAAGGTCCCTCTCCCCCCATTTTACAATCTCCGGGTTAATTTTATTTTTTAAAAACAGAACATAACACTTCCGAAAGTCGAAACTATGCTAAGGTACACTGAGAGAAGTGCCACTCATACCCTTCCCGCCCAGCTCCCGCCCCCCCCACCCCCCGCCGTAGGTATCCAACTTCACTTTTTGTTTTGTTTTTTCCCAATTTTATTTTATGAAGACAAGTAGTAAATGTGTTTTCTTAGTCCCCCTCTTTCTTACACAAAAGGTGGCACACAGGTAGGGGCGCCAAGCCTGGGTTGCCTAAGACCGAGGACTTTCTGGGAACACAACTTGCAGATAAAATTAAAACTGGGCAAGTCAGGCAAACGTAGGGGTCATTCTGTATACATGCTCTCTAACTACCGATGAGTAATTTGCATCCCATAAATTCACCTATTTTTTTTTTTTAAATAGCTTTATCAAGGTATATAATTCAATGTTCCACAATTCACTCATTTTAAGACTTGTGCATTCTGATTGCAACAATTCAATTTCAGAACATTTTTACCCTAATAAAATTCCCCATGCCTGGTTACACTTAATCCTTGTCCCTGCCTCACCCTGGCACCTCTCCAGTTTGAGGCAGCCAATAGCTACTTTCAGTTTATAGAGTTTTCTGGGCATTTCATATAAATAAAATTATACAGTGATATCTTGAGTCTGGTTTCTTTCATTGAGTATAATGCATTTGAGGTCCACCCATGTCATTGCACACGTGTCAGCATTTCTATCAGTGTTGCTGAATAGTATCCCATTCTTTGAAACTATGCATGTTTATCCATTTAAAAGTTGATGGGCGTTTGAGTTGCTTCCTTTTTGGCTGATGCGTCATGCTGCAGTGAACATTCACGTGCAAGTCTTTACGTGGATGTGGTTTTCATTTCATTTTGGTGGAATTGTTGGACTGTGACAAATTTATGTTTAACTTTTTAAGAAATCGTCAAAAGTGATTTCAAGTGGCTGTACCATGTTACCTTCCCACCAGCAATGTATGAGAGTTCATGTTTTTCCACATCCTCACCAAAGTTTGTGAATGACTATTTTTGTAGACATTCTTATAGATACAAAGTGTTATCTCATGGTTTACATTTGCATTTCCCTAAAGTTAAATGAAGTTGAGCACCTTTTCATGTGCTTATTAGCGGTTTCACATACATGCTCTTCTGGACTGCATTTTTCACTAAACATTGGTCATCACGCAGTGTAAGTTCATAGAGAATCTAGCTCTGTCTCCATCTCGGGAGATGCTCAGTGTTCCATGGTGTGTAGGTACCCGATTTTATCCTGTCAATCCAGTATGCTCGGGCATGTCGGTGCTGGTCAATATTTTGCAAAATAACAATGTTAAAATGGTCTTACATATGCATTTCTGTTTTGTTTGAGGTATCCCTTCAGAGTAGATTCCTGCAAGTGGAACTACTAAGTCAAAGGACATAGGCAAGGACATAGGCATACATAGTTTTATTAGGTAATTGCCAAATTGCTTTCCATAAAGGTTGTAGCCATTCAGATGCCGCCAGGAATGTGTGAGACAGTTTTCCCAGAGCTTCACTAGCAATAATATTGTCAGGCTTTCGAGTTTTTGCCCTTATGATGGTGCAAAATGATATCTCATTGTAGCTTTAATTTTCATTTCTCCTACTATAAGTGAAGTTAAAATTCTTTCATATTTAAGGGTTATTTTTATGTCTGTGATTTTGATATATTTTTTCAAAATATGTTTTTTCAAAATATTGTTTTACAAACTTAAAATTTTTATGTAGAAAAATTTATCAGTTCCTTTATGAAACCATCGGGGTTTGGTGCTTTTTTATGTAGTAATCCCTTGATAACTTTTTCTTTTGTGCAATTTTTTTTTAATTGTACAGGAGCCATTTTGCTAAACTGTATTTTTCTAAGAAAGTATCCATATCTTCTAGGTATTCAGATATATTTCCTTTGATGCAAGTGAATAATCTTCTATGTTTTAAATTTTTTCTCTAGCAATAGCAAATGCTCTGTTGTTATTTCTTATTCTGTATATTTGCACTTCCTCCTGTATTAAACTAGCACATCCTTTGTTGCTATTTTTGTTTTTACAGAATTTTACTCACTTATTTAATGTATTTTTGTTCTCTACCTCTAATTTCAAGTAAATTTTAATTTCTCTTCTTGTATTTATTATTTTCTTCCATGGGCCTTTTTTTTTGTTTTACTTTGTTCTAGGCTCTTTCAGATGAGAATATAATTAATTTTCCCTTTTTTAATACAGATATTTAGTGCTATGAAATTTTCTCTGATCACTGCTTAGAATACATTCTACAGATATATTTATTTTAAGATTCTGTAATTTTTGTATTTCCTATTTTGTCTAAGAATTAAGTTTATTAGAATATCTTTAACTTCCAACTTAAGAGCTTTTTTGGTTGCATTATTTTCTATTTTTATTGCATTATAATTAGCAAGTAGTTTGTAATAACTTTATAGTACCTGCTGATATTTTCTATGTGCCCTAACGTATGATCAGATTTATGCATATCTATATGAATGTTTCGTGCATCCTCAAGAAGACTGTATGTTCTCTATGATTAGAATGTGGTATTTAAGATAAATCTAAAACGTATATCCTTACTTTTTTCTGTTTGCTG